AAAAAATAAAGTAATTATTTGTGTAGGTACTTTCTTTGTATCGGATACTACTCGTATTTCCAATATTTTCTACTTGGTTATATGAAGCGCTTTCAAATTTTTTTCCAAAATTTTAAAGTGTGCAGCAATGGAAAGGAACTCTACGTTTTAGGAAACTCCCTAAGGCTTTCAAGGTACGTGTGGACAATTTCGATCCACCATTATACTTAGCCCTTATCATCGGTGGTCTTCAGATAAGATTGTGTAATCGATAACCCATTAAATATAATAAAAGATTCGGTATGAATGTTTCCAGCTTTATAAGTTTGTCGCTGGATTTTCCCACTTGAATTTCCTTTCAAGTGCCAGGTTGAAAACTATCCTATTTCCCTGAGAATCAAACTATCCATTTATTCGTCCACCAAACTTCCTCATTTACTAAATTAGTTGGATAGGAGTAGGATAAGATTTGCTAGATCACATACAATCTTACTCAACATAACAAAACTTTTCTATTGAAAACATTCAAATTCGTATTTTATCAGTGTTCATTCTAATCGAAAGAACTTGGCGTGGTGAAATCCGAAAGCACGATATCTCCTCAGGTTTATGGGACTGTAGGGGTAAAAATACAGACTACTGCATCAACAGATACCACCATGAATTAACAATGAAAGACTATCCCCCGTATTCACAAACATTACTATGAGGTCTCACAGTGCGTGTGGACGCACAGGGTGACACACGAACTAATCACAGAGCTCTATTCAACGCTGTGCGTTCGATTTGCTACTTCACGTTTGTGAATACGGGCGTAAGTCACTGCAATATGGTGGTAGAAGGTACTTAATAGCTACTATAGTAATGCTGATAAAAAACGAAAGCATTTATTTACCTGTTTTGTTGTCAGTCATTACATTGTTTCGTGACCTTTCCTTAATTTCGCCTCATTGCATAACATGCTGTTATGCATTTGTGCACTTACAAAATATTCGCGTATTTTTACACACTTCATTAAAAGTTTAAATATGTTTCAGTAGGTTTTTCTTCCAGAAATGTTCCATTATTATAAAGAAGTTACTTCTAACTTATGAGAGAATATTGTACAGCCTGGACTTAATTTTTAAGTTATTGCCAATTTCTCCTTTTGCGCGAGCCATTAAAAAAAATCTTTATACCTTCTTGGTGTCTATGTTTTTAGTTGTCTGTGGCGTAGAGCCAAACTTCGGCATCCGAATCTGTTGGATGCCGAGTTCGGATCTTTACTACACTCAGCAGATGAAGGCTGGAAGTCGACGATATGCTTTACTTTGTTATTCGCGAGGTATTCCACCAAGTTTGCCAGTATTTTATGTCACATTTCTATATTTATGATAAGTGGCGTTGAAATACAACAATTTAGCAGTATGAACCCGTAAGCGATTCCCAAATGAACGGGAATAATTGGGGAATGTCACGAAGATTCTAAAAGCCTTGCATGATAACGTATTCACAAACATTACTATGAGGTGTCACAGTGCGCGTGGACGCACAGGGTGACACACGAAGCAATCACAGAGCTCTATATGTATACAATTTTCTATCGATTTGTTGCTTCACTTAAGCAAGAATCGCTTGCGAATACAGGCGTAAGTATTTTTGGTCTTAAGATCTTACAAGATAAATGTATGCTCTAACTAGAGTAAGAACTTGGACAGCAACAATAATTGAGAATGTTACTAGGTATGCAAAATCACTTGAAACCTATGTTACGGTTAGGCTTTTACATTTACAAATACATTAGTTTTTATTTCATTCAAAAATACCCAGTAGTTATGATTTTATAGGCATTCAAAGTACGCTTAAATATTGAGTGCCGCCGACGGTCACGTGACCCCGCGTGACGTACATTCACAGTATCCGCTCACTAGAAAACGGATATAAACATACTTAAATACATTTTTTTTTATAAATACAAACTTATTATACATATTAACACCCAGACCCATCACAGAAATTAAAATTGAACCAAACCCAAACTTGATGCGATTGTGTCGTTTTATTGCGAATTACCTTCCAGCTCCATCATTAGACCCTGATTACTATATAGAATTAAAGTACTTGTCAATACAAAACGAACGAACCCAAACTCGATGGATTTAAGTCGTTTTATTATAAAGTTCCTATGGCCACCTTCCAGCTCCATCATCAGATCAGCTCCATGTCATCATAATATTGCATGGTCATCCAAATCACATGTGTTTGCGAAATTTCAGCTTAATCGGTTGCCTGGAAGTGGGTCTTAATTCAGCTTGCAAGATTTCACCCATACAAATATGAGCCAGTCACTGTAATATGACGTCACGCGCATAAAATGGCGGGCCGGCCGCCGCCCGCACTTTTGAAATTCAATATCTTGGAAACTAATTCACGTATCGAAATAATTCTTTCATGTGTATTTTTTATTTTTAACAGAGAATACAAAAAGCTAAAAAACAAAATTAGTGAACATTCTTCATTATCTGTAACATTTATTTCAGTTAACCTCTTCTAGATTTTAGCAAAAGCAAACTATCGAAACCCACAAACTGAAAATCAAAACCAATCTCAGCAGGTCAGCAGTTTGAATACAGCCTAAATTCGTCTGAACGCTCGATATATTCGGCTCGCTTTGAGTTACTTGACAAACTTCCGACGTTGTATCCATTCGATTCGATTCGTACTTTGACTCGAGTTCTCGAGTTCTCGGCACTTTATCGATACTCCACTTAGCAGATCGCCGTAACTTGCCGGTGTTATGAGTTGGTTGTTTTGAACACGTATTTTACAACTCCGATAATGTATTGGATTTGTAAAATTATTACTTTTTCCCCTTTTTATTGGTTCGCCTTATTTTCCGAGTCTATTTTTACACTCTTGCGTATTTGTTAGTGAGTTGTTGCTTACTTTCAAGATTGGTTCCTGACTTGAATTATTTATACATTACTTACCTACTTCTTAAGATACGGCATATCTAAACACCGGATTTTTTCTGCTTTCAAAAGTAAGAGTTTGGTTCATTAATTTGTCAAATACTACGTTTTCCTATGTCACTTTTCGAGTATTCGTTTTGTATTTATATTTTCTTCATTGCGCTTATTTCACACTAAGTACCTATCTAAAGTTTAATTCAAAGCCAAAATGTACTTGTCATTACAATTGTCTTAGCGATCATATTCAAATGCGTGTGAAAGTGTGTAATTAACACGTTTACTCTGAACACTATGGTTACGAAATGTCATCAAATTACAGACAACGCCTATTCATTAAACCCGCGAATTAATTGCGCTACACTACGCAGATGTATCAGGCCTAAATTAATTCAAGACACAGTAAATAAGACTCATCCCGCTCGGTAATCAGTGGGAGCTTCATTTGTCACCCGGCTGGATTGAAATGTCGTGGATTCAATCCACAGTTTGAGTTTGAATTATGTACACTCATCCAGTCTGAGACGGCAATCCCTGATTCTTTAACAAATAAGGAACTCGGATTTACGATCTCGTGTTTATGTTGAGTTGAGTACCAATCAAATTGGGCTTTTAAAATATATTTTCCAGAAAAAATGTCGGCGTATGTGTAGGGTTTCCCACGAGGTAATTTTATGTTGGCATTTTGCAATGTTTTTATTTTTTTAACGTTCCAAATTTTAATCAAAAGTTTTATTTAACTACTCTATGTAGCTCATTCTGTAAATTAAAAATTTATTTTTAGATCGCCTAGAAAATACTAGTCTGTCCACTCCACAGTCCACTTAACAATCGTAATGAAAACTATTGTAAGCTTCAAGCCAAAATGTTACTTACTGCTTTAATCTTGTATAAAATATCTCGTCGCAAAATACTGGCGTCTTCTCTTCAAATTGGTTAGACCCAAACCAATTGTTTAGGTAAACAACAAACTTCAAATAAAGTGTATTGAATTGCTTAAATGAAAAGGTAAAATAGCAACAATGCCTAAACAAAAGCAAGTATATTAAAGGCTGATTATGATGAAAGTTCGCCAATTAATAACGAATCCCGCTAATCTCGGACTGACGAAACAACTATTTGGAAGTTTCCACCCTTGTTTCATTAAGGGTCCTACGTATGATTTAGGTACTCGTGATAAAAGAGAAGAGCATCACTTTAAATTCGCCGAATATATTTTGATACAAAAACATAAGCTTAATTCTTATTTAAAAAAAGGCCAATTTGATTGTAATTGTTATTCACAATTAATATTTATACAATGAACTAAAAAATTGGTAACTTATGTAATATTTACAACATCAAATAAAGTATTTGTATTTAACCTACCTACTTGAAATGTTAGAATGCACTTAAAATAATAAACTTAACTTCATTAATGTTTAGGTGTTTCTTTCGTTCAACGACCGAAGACTGTCTTATTCCCAATGGTTCTAGCCAGATTTTTGCCTTAAAAATGTCTTGAATTTTAAACAAAAATGACCTTTTGTTACATCTACGTCGGACCCTTCAACCAGCTGAACATTTTATAATACGCCTCGCTGCCGGCCGACCGCGATATTTCATTAAAATTTCAAGCCAAGTTTCGCTTACAAAGACATTTATACAGCTTTCTGTTGCACTACAACTGTGTTACGCTGCTGTTACTAATTATCCTGCTTTCGCCTCCGAGATTTATTTTACCATGTAGTACCCCTGTACGACAACCCAATCCGCACACAATATTCAGCGTAGTAGTATTAAAAAACAAAAGAGCGGGCAACCCCACCCCTACCACGCTGTGGGCTCGGTGTCCGAGCGGTCTCATTCCTTTGTGCGCACGCGCAACGACCGCACGCAGTATAAGAAAAATGCTTAAGTGACGTCACCAGGACGTTTTTACCGACAAAAAACGTAATTATTTTAAGTTGTGCAGTGTAGTGACGAGAATTAGACCCAACATAAATCTCTTCGGCGAAAACAGGATAATTTAGATCGAACTTCACTTGGTAAGTTCGTTTGATCATTCAATAAATTTTCCTTTGTTTGTTACAGGTATATATTTAATGGATGGATAAACTTATTGCTGACTATTGTAAGGTTTGTACAGAGTAAACATACCTACTTATTGGGTGAAAGGAGTTGGATATAAAATCATTGACAATTGCCGAACTGTTGATTCGAGATTAGAGAAATGCTATTTCGATCCCCACAGGCTGGACTATTGTTATGAACCCACTCCCACACAAGCATAGTATGTAGGTTAATTGAAGCTGTTAAATGGAATATAGTAATTTTTGCCTTATATTCGTAAAAAACATGTTGAATTAACGCCAGAGCTCAGAGGCCAGTGATTGGATGTTCATTGGTAGATGAGCCCTTAGCTTAATTTAGGCTTTCAATTTAAATATTACCTACTATAATACTTGGTTTGTTCGATGCCTTATTTTTATAACAGAATCTCTTTGCTCTGTAATTTTTATTTCATGGACTTAGGAATGAAAAGCTTGCGTTTTTAAATGCGAAAATATGCAAACAATTTGCATAATACTCCGCTCGCAGTGCGTCGTCACACGTCCAAATTTCGCCAGGCCGGGACTTTTATGCGACATTAGCATAAGGCGCGATGCGTGTCTGTTTTACAGCCAAGTTATACAAAGTAGATGGATGTCTTTAATTCATCTTCAATTCAATGTGTTTCCATGGGTTTCGTCCTTCACCTTCTAGTCCGCGGTTTTAATAAAAACCCTTTTATATGTATAAATACTTTTTAAGAAGCATGTATTGTAGGATGCCTCGTATAAATTAATAGTCTTGGTTGACTGGATTATTTAAAGACGTGTTCTAAACGTGCTAAGAAGAACACAGAAGAACACTACTTCAGAATATGGGAAGTCTATTTTCATTATGGATTTTTGGAGTTTACACATACCATTCGTTTTGAGTTCATTAATGTTTTATATACTTACACAAATAAAAAAGAAAACTGCCGCTAAAAAGCATAATAAATAAGTTTTTTAAAAAACGAACGTGCAAACGCGAAAACTAAAATATGTTTTAGTTTTCGCGGTTTGCATGTAGAGTGGAAATAAGAGCAAAATGACGATTTGTAAGAACTATTTATTAGTCTAAACAAATAAAGAAATTTTGACTTTGACTGACTTTTTGACTTTGCCAAACTCCTTAGGGGACCACTGAATGTTTTCTTGAAAGTGTGAATTTCGTAATATTGCGATTTAGATTGGTACTCTATCTAAGCTACACTTGGAAGCCTGCGGGTAACGAGCCATTGGACGTGGAGAGGGTCATTAATTATACACATATTTTCTACTTTGCCGAACATTTGCACGAGAACGGTTTGTTCAAAACATATGAATTTGGTCTTATTTAATGCAGGATTAAATGCCCTTCAACCGTCAGGAAGACCACTTTTCGATAGGGTAAGTCCTTTACGCGGTATAACCGGAAAACCGAAAAAGCGCCTCTTTCGGGGGCCCCCACCACTTAAGTACAACTCCGTCGAAGTCGAAAACCTAGGAGAGTCTTTATGGGCAACTAATGAAGCCATTAAAGTACTAAAATCTTTAGTTGGAATTATTTCCGATTTAATTCATTTTTGTGTTTAATTCTACTGGCCTATTAGTACTTACTAAGTATTTAGATTTGAAGGTAACGTTTAATTTTGTTGCGACGCGAATTTTAACACAGCATGCTACATTATCGTCCCTACACCAATAAATTGTGGCCTCAATAACTTTCATACAGCAAACTAGAGGTAAGGAAAAAGAAGAAACTACAACTAGGTTTAAAATATACATAACTGACATAGTAAACAGCCTTAAAGATTTTATTAAATGAACATTGAACACCCTCAAAATCCCCATCTAAAACACCGCATTGCAATTGGAGTAAACCACTAGCTTCAATTGCAAGTGCATTTCAGTAGCGCTAATATAAAAAAGAACGTAAGTTCTGCTTTCCTAACTCCTTCGTCGTGTATATTCACACTATGTAAAGCTAGCACAGAGCTTATCATTACAGCTTCATATTCAGACACGTTAGAGTTAACCTCTATAATGCGATGTGCCACTGCATAACACCCCCATTAAAGCCTTCATTAAGTAATTTCCTTACCTACCTACCACTAACTTGATAGCATCTGTCGTCAATTTCCATATGAAACCTTGCTGAAGGCGATTATGCAAATGCAATCAGGTGGGTGTGTTCTTAGTGAAGCTTTCAGTTGTTTAGGAATAGGTGTAAATATAGACATAGGTGACTATATTACTGTAACACCTTATTTAGTTACAATAGAAGTCATTTTGCAGCAAAAATGTTAATTTAGCCTGTCACTTAGCCCTACCTAATAGAAACGTGGAAATCATGCGATTAGTTAATACTAACTTGTTCTGTAATATGGTATCTGGTATGGTATGATATTCGGGATAGCTAAATTCTCTTTTTAATATTTAACTAATTCCAGTCGAGACTAAATTCTATGTTAAATACCTATCGCTTATTTGTGTTCATACTTAAAATCCCCGCATCTTCTCCAAATTGAAGCTCTCCCCACAGCTTCGTCTTCCCCGCAGTTTGGGGAATTCCCTGCAAATTGGCAACCTTGCTTGGAAGCCTCCATTGTCTCCACTCAGCAAGTCTTACAGGATATGAAACTTTCACACTTTACCTGTTAGTACGTAGTTTCAGAGATTGTAGCTGTCTCTCCTGAAACAATTGAAAGGTTTTGCTGAGTCATCTTTTGAAAGTTTTTGGTTGAACACGTTCTTTAGCTACTTTTGAGTATCTAGTTTACGGTTAGCTTGTTAGTAAGTTGTAGTAAGTCTTTCAAAACCAATTTGAATTGTCTGGTTGCACTGTTAGTAGATAGTAATTATATTACTTCAATAGAATGTTAACTATTATTATTGATAGTCTGGTTTATAGAGCATGATTCTGTGTTCGATTTCCAGGCCAGGCACATGGTGTACAATCACTTGTGTGTTAGTGTACAATCGCGTGTGTGTGGTGTGTTTTATTATCCTAGTTTAGGCAGTCTGAACCTACCTTAGATAATAATCATCATATACGGTTGTTTTATGTTATGTTCAATTGTTATAACTTTAAAAGACCTTTGTCTATGTCTATTTGTTTAATGGACCTGTCCGTTTCAAAACACCGTTAAAACGAACGTAACCATCCCATACTATTGTAACTTTCAAGCCAAATTGGCATAGATACCGAACATTCGGGTGATGTCCGTGAGATAAAATCATATCGCTTGTTTGCTTCCCACTCACTATAATGCCCTAAATAAGTCAGCCATATCGTTATTCTAATTATAATTTCGGCTTCTGCGTATTTTATTCCATAACCTTTAGACGTAATCGCCTATGGCCGACTTGTGATCCGGGGAACGCGGGTTCGGTCCCCGCCGCCGCTCGACTATTGTGGTGAGCTCACTCGTGATACAGGTGTAGGTGATTGCTACAGTTATTGGCCCTTTAAGAGCGTTGTGTAAGTTAACTTGTGTAAAATGTAACAAAAACTCGACTTTTGTTTACTTTTTATATTTTATTATGAGAAAACAATATTCCTGCTATTTAAGCTAGTACCTATTTGGTGTTATACGATAAGAATTACAACAATAATTTTAAAAATATCAGAGATCACATTAAATTTAGCTATTGGCCCCATAATCACAGTAATTGGCTCCTAGAAGTACAGTTATTAGCCACCGAAAAAAACCCATAAAAATCACTGAAACTTCACGCTTTGTAATCCTAACTCATTTTGTCTTTCCTTAAGATAAGCTAAGAATTCGTCATCAGTATCACTCTTATCGATTTCTTCATCTATCTCATCATCGTCAGTACATTCAGTAACATTGTAACAATTGTGACAAAGATAACTGTCTCCTTCTTCTTCAGGAATATGCTGTTGCACAAGATTTATGAAAGACACGGTGACATTCAGAGCATACTAAAAGTCTATTTTTTATAAGCTTTTTGCAAATATTACAGATTTGATTGGATACAGATACATTATTCTTACTTTTTTTATTTTAGCAGTTTTCTTTTCTTCAGCTTTCCGTTTTCTGTCCTCTCTTTTTTGTTCTCTTTCAATTTTCCGTTCCCTTTTTTCTTTCTCGAGGATTTCTTTTTCTTTAGCTTTTTCTTCCAGAATCCTCTGATATTCTGGCCTGATATGTGAAACGGTAATCGCGATATATTTCTCTTCCCTTTTCGAGTTGGCTCTGGGGGAATCCGTAGAAAGTCTTTCAGACTTGATTTTTTTTTGCCTGTTGGCGTGATGCAAAAAGTGATGAGATCAGCATAGCTTGCACTTTCTGCTTCTAAAGTTTCTTTACAGTTTTCGTTTTCTATTTCTATTAAATCAAAGTTGTTTCGTTCTATTTCTTTCACCTTAATGTACGTTTTAGTGATCATTGTCTTTTTTTCGTCAATTTAGCCGGTAGTGGATGTCCTTCTGCTGTGATACTAATAAAAATTTATTTTTTGTTGTGTTCTATTTTCAGATAACGCTGCTTCATTAACTGTTATTTCCTTTTCTTGGGCCAACGGTTGATCTCGTCGTTCTCGTTCGTCTACAAGTACCGATCTCATCTTCTTGGGTCTCAGTTTTAGAGTCTTTTGTCTCTCTTTCTTTATCTCTAGTTTGAAGTTCTCCTATTTCACTCAATGTTGATTCTTTCTCCCGACTTATAGGTTCAGGTTCATCTGTAACTTCCGCTTCCAATCCATTTTGCTTATAATAAATAGTCCCACAATCGATAAAGAATAAAAAAATTTCATTGTTTTGCATTAGGTATAGGTATTATTTGTTTTATTTTTTTAAACTGATTAAGTGTTTCTGTTCCAACTACTTATACCAACCTTAGTATACTGTGTTACCTACGGCATCTTGTAACAATCTAGGTAAAGTAAATCAATAAAAATAGTTATTGGCCGTGCATAAGTGTCAGTAATTGGCCCCCCGGCTAATTACTGATCCTAATAGGTTAGGACGTTAGTATTTTAATAGCAAATATTTAAGGGTTAAATTAACTTAATCTTGAATAAAAATACAATAAAAGTAAAATTTAATTATTGGCCACCCATGGCCAATAA